GCCGCGATGGCTGAGAAGGCGGCCGTCGCCGCGATGGCCGCGGCGGCCAGCCTCCTGCCCGGGCGCCGGCTGGACCTGGAGGACGTCGCGCCGGGCCTGCTGCACCTGCCCCCGGGCCTCCTTTGCATGCCAGGTGGGTGGCGTGGATGGGGGGGTGAGGGGAGGGTGTGAGGCTGGGAAAGGGAGTGTGTGGGGGGGTGAAGGGAGGTGGGAGGGGAACGCCCATAATCGGCTGGGGGGTGGGGAGGAGGTCCTCCACCCCCCGCGCCGTGCCGCTTTGCGCCCCCCATCACATCGCTCTGCCACCCACCCCGAAGACTCCAGATCCACGCCGTCGCACCACCGTCTCCCCTCCCCTCTCCCTCGCCCCCGCCAGGGTGCGAGCACGTGCGCGTGGCTGGGTTTGCCTCCGGGACCGTGGATGTGCTGCAGACCAAGACCCGGCCCAAGCTGGTGCACCTGCTGGGGGAGGACGGCGTGGCCCGGCCCTTCCTGCTCAAGGGGCGGGAGGATGCGGCAGCGCACGCCTGGCTGCTGCGCCTGGCGGACTTGACGCGGCGCGCGGCGGCCTCGGCCTCGCCCACGCTGCGCGACGCCGCGCCGGCCTACGGTCTGCTGCCCCTGGGCCCCCGCGCCGCTCTGGTCCAGTGGCTGCCGCGCGTCACGCCCCTCATGGAGCTGCACTCCCGGGCCGCCGCGGCGGCGGCGCGCCAGGCGGCGCTGGCGGGCGAGGCCGCCGCAGCGGCGCGCGACGGCCGGGCCTTCGATCCGGCCGTGGAGCGCGGCGTGCCGCGCCCGCCGCGCGCTGCAGAAGCCTTCAAGGCCGCCCTGCGGGTGAGGGATCCGGTGGTTGGGTGCGTGGGTTGGAGGAGGAGGGGGGAGGGGGCAATGGCGGCGAGGCGCAGGGGCTGCCGGCGCGGGAGGGGTGGGTGTGTTTGTGGACGGGAGTTCTACCGCGTGCCAGATGCAGCCCCGCGGAACGGCCTGGACGGGCGCCTCGATCGCGTCCTCGCCCCGATCAAGTCATCTCCCCCCTTCCCCGACACACACATGAACACGCCGGCACAGGCCCAGGGCGTGGACCCCGCCGCGCCGCGCGCCGAGTGGCCGGCGTCCGCCCTGCGCGCCGTCTTCGCCCGGCTCCAGCACGGCGCCGCGTCGGACTTCATCGCGGCCCGGCTGCTGGCCGGGGCCTGGGGCCCGGGCGACTGGTGGCGCCGCCGGCTCAACTTTGCGCGCTCCGCCGCGCTGCACAGCATGGTGGGCGGGCGGCCGGGTGGGCGGGCGGCCGGGTGGGCTTGCCTGAGGGTCTGGGGTGAGGGTCGGGGTTGGGGACGGGGCACGCATCCGCGGGCCAGAGACTCCCGCCCCGCTGCAGGACCAGGCGAGGGCTGTGCCCCCCCTCCTCCCACCGTCCACCCACCCCGACCCTCTGCCGCAGACCGGGTGGGTGCTGGGCGTGGGAGACCGCCACCTGGACAACATCTTGCTGCGCGAGCGCGACGGCCGCCTCACCCACGTCGACTTCGACCTGGTGTTTGACAGGTGTGCGCGTCCGAGGGGCCTGGGCGGAGGCGGGGAGGGGTCGTGCGTGATGAGTGTATGCCTGGACGGGGGACTGTGCAGGCCGGGGCTGGCTCGCCGGCCGGTCCACGAGATCGGCGTGTGAGCGGGGATCCCTGTTGCGGACAGGCGCCCGCCGGATTCCCAGGATCTCCCCATGCCGCCGGAGCGCACTCCCGACGTCCGACCGCCCCGAGACCCCGCTTTCCCGACGACCCACACCCCTTCCTACACACTGCAGGGGCAGGGAGCTGAACGTCCCCGAGACAGTGCCCTTCCGGCTCACGCGCTGCATGCTGCTCGCGCTGGGGCCCGTGGGCGCGGGCGGCCCCTTCGCCGGCGCCTGCCACGCCACGCTGGGCGCGCTGCGCTCCCACGCCGACGTCATGCTGGGCGCGCTGGGCGTGGCCCTGGACGACCCGGGGATCCGCTGGCGCGTGGAGGGGGCGCAGGCGGGCGTCAGCGGGCTCTGGGCCAAGGTGGCCGTGGCGCGGGCGGATGCGCTGCGTCTCACCAGCGCCGCGCGCACGCTGGAGCGGCTGCTGCCCCGGATGGAGCATGCGCTGATGCCCCTCGGCATGCACATGCTGTACTTCATCAGCAAGCTGCAGATCGACCACGGCAGGGACGGCAGGGGTCTGGCGCCGGCGGGCGACGCGGCCGCGGCGCCGACAGGCGGGGCGCGCGGCGCGCCGGCGGGAGAGGCGCCGGCGGCGACCAGCGGCGCGCCGGCGGGCGGGGTGCCGGCGAGCAGGGTGCCGGCGGGCGGCGCGCGTCCGGGCGCGAGCAAGCGGGCGCAGCGCCTGGCCGCCACGAAGCAGATGAGGGGCGCGGCTGCCACGAAGAAGGCGCAGGACGCGGGCACCACGGAGCTGGAGAAGGGTTCGAAGGCCGACCGGCATGCGCAGGATGCGACCACCGTGGCAGCCTCCGCGACGGGCGCCGCAGCAGCAGCCGCGGCGACCGCGAGGTCCGCCGCCGCAAAGGCCAGGGAGCGGGCTGAGGCCGCGGGCGCGGCGCTCGCCCGCGAGCACCCGCGCCTGCAGACCGCCCTGGCCGAGAGCGAGGTCGCTGCTGTGGCGCACGCCCAGCTGCTGGACTCCCTGCTGGGACCGAGCCACGGCGGCGCCGCGGCCCTCGTCCAGGCCGTCGACCCGGGCGCCGCGCCCGCACTGGCCCTGGGGCCCATGGTCGCGGGGTGGCGGGGCGTGCCACCCGACGCCCTTGCCCGCGCCCGGCTCCAGGCGGCGGGGACCGATGCCGAGCTGGCGGGCCTCTTGGACAGGGTGAGGTTTTGGGGGGTTTGGAGTAGGGGGGGTTGAGGATGCAGGAGGGGCAGGGTTTGGGGGAGAAGAGCGGGAGGAAGGGCATGCAGGGGTCGTCATGAACAGGTGGGAAACATGGGCAAGAGCCCTGCACGTGACCGAAGCTGAAGCAGCCATGCGGTGGGGCGTGGACACATCACCGCCCCGCACCCTGGGCCAGCGGCCAGTCCCTCGATGCTCCTGAACCACCACCCTCGCAGCGCGGCCACTGCACGCTGGTCCTGGCCGAGGCCCTGGCGCGGTACCGGGGCGTGGCGGCCCTCCTCCCGCCCGGTACGATCGTGCGCACCACCTTCCCCGCGCGCGCCGCCGAGGCG